TTGTAGCCTATACGTGTGATATGTTTGAACTTGCCCCATTCTTTTCTTATGATTGGGATACTATAAAACTCGACGTATGCACTGATTTCTTTATTTCCATCATCTACTCATCATCCTTAGTGATCGTGAACTCGATTTCAAACTCGGAACAGGCAACCGGAGACGAAAACCGCCTCGCGTTCAACGGCGCGCGGGGTTCCACGAAACCGCCGCGTCCGGGCGTTCGGGCGTTCGGGCGCCGGTTCCCAATCAATTGGCGGCGCGGGAGGGTTCCCAGAGGCTCCACGCAGCACGCGCAGGGAACGGGGCCGCGGGCCGCACGCGCGCAGCGGGGCAGCGGCGGCGCCACGGCGCGCCCTCGCCCAAGTAGTGATGCGGCATGCGACGACAAAGGGGGCGGGATTTTGATGATCTAACAACTTGGCCAAAAAACGATCAATAAAACGCTTTAAAAATGCCCTAAAAACAAAGAAAAATTACGTAAAATATTTGATCAAAACCACTTCAGATGAACAAGTGAAGCTGTTGGACATCAATGATGCCATCGAGGCTGCTTCTTTTTGTTGAAGTAAACGCAACTTCCAAACTTTGGGAAATCGGCCGAACTGGCTAAGGCGCCGAGAAACGTCCGAAGAACCTGAGATTACTTAGTATTCGACACAGCTGACATTATAGTATATGAGCGAACAAATCGATTAGGCAAGTCAAAAGTGAACACGAGCTCCACCTCGTAAACATTGTTTTAAAAACTCGTATTAAAATATTAACAGATAGATGAAATAAGCGAAAAATGTATGAAAATGACGTATTAGTCGAAATCGAGGTAAAATGCAACAAAATGACGTATAAAAATGGGTCATTTCGTTTCGTCATAACATAAAGTTAATTTTTATACTAAACGGCATTATTCCAAAGTGGAAAGAAAAACGACGTTTCATTAAAATCCGCCCTTATCGATAATAATACATCCACGTTAGCAGACATGTTAATCGACTCGACATCGCCTAAAAATCGTCCATGTTCTTCAACATCGATGTTTTCAAGCTGGTTTAGTAAGTTCTAACATTAAATTTATAAGCATTAAAATGTAACTTGATAGTGTTCATGTCTTTCACCGAATACGGTTCGACAATAAAGAGCAATCCCTAGGCCCACAACTCATTTCTTCACCACTTGTCAATGAATGTGAAGGAAGAGGAAATACAAGGGCATCGCTCCTTTGGCAGCGGTCGCAGCGTGCCTTTGGTTCCAACACACGAATTAACAATGTTATCAGTTGTATTTCATATTTTAACTTTTACAATAAGGTCATCATGGGACTTTTTCATTCACAAACAAAACACTGGTAAAAAAACCATGACTTACAAAACATCAATGTTATAACATCGATATTTTGAAAGCAACGACATTGATGTCGCATTCCTGCACCTTACCGGACGCTGCGTGCGTCCGTTAAGGACGTCAGTGGTACGCCCCTACGGCACTCCTGTAGGTGAACAGACCATGTTGAGGAGACGTCAAAAATATACGAACACGTCTGGTAGCATATCGGAAAGAGGGTTCCCCAGGCTTATATATATATGAGAGGGAGAGAGGAGAGGGAGAGAGGAGAGGGAGAGAGGAGAGGGAGAGAGGAGAGGGAGAGAGGAGGAGTGAGGGAGAGAGAGAGAGGGAGGGAGAGAGAGAGAGGGAGGGGGAGAGAGGGAGAGAGAACAAAAATGAATATAAAGAAGAAAGTTATAAATAAAGGCGAAAAATACACATGTAAGCAAGAAGGGAATGATTTTCAACGCGATCAAAATGGAGCTAAAGACGCAGCAAAAAATTGCGAACAAAAAACAACAACAAACGAGTACACGTAAACACAAATAACGATAGACACAAACACGCACTATGATAAGCGTCCAAAGCACGAGCGCAGCTGACGGAATGCAATGCAGCGTCGGCGCCGTCGCCAGGGCCTGCGATATGTGGATTTCCGAGCGTGGAGCGGGGGTCAGTGTTCGCCGGGTTGGGAGGGGAGGGCGCGGGGTCGCGGCCGCGAGTCGTGCCGTGACTGCGCGCGGATGCTGCCTGCCCGCATGCCGCCGCCGAGTAATGACGAGTCCCGCTGCTGTCGGAAGCCGGCGCGCGATGTGGGAGGCGCACATGCCACTAGCCGTCACACAGATGGGAGGGGGGGAGAGGGGTGCTGCCGTCGCTCACTCGCCGCTGCCCAGCACCTGCGACCGACGCGCCCGCCGCCGCTACGCGAGCGCTGGCGTTCAAGCAGAATCTACGCCAACATTGGACGGTCATTTTTCACACGAAAACACAAACCTGGTATTCAAAGTTTAGGATCGACGTTATTACTACTCGTTCGAATGGTGCGGAAAATTTCTTCGGCGTGGGAATCAATGTGAAAGTACTAGTATATTGATCTATCCTTTTGTGTGCGTGTGATTATTGTATTATATTCACATAGCAATCTACGCAAACATTTAATACAGTAAAAACTGTACATTTCGATTCTACATGTATTTTTAGCACTTTCATATGTGCAATACGAAATAGTTTCCCATTTAAATTACTCCATGCATTACCATATCTAGAATCCGTTGCAGATTTAGGTGTAATGTGACACATTTAACCCTTGCTATGTTATTATCTGTGAGTACTTGGAAGTTTATAATATTGCAAAGTAGACAATTACGTTGCATTGTATTCCACACAACGTTCTCACGGCCCAACCCCAAAATTGAAAAAAAGCAAAATATCTACAATTTCACGATATAATATAAGGTCCTTCAAAGCTACCTTAGCGTGTTAGGTGCTTTTAGCCAAACCTCGTAATCACAGCGTGAAGGAACCAAAGGTCACACGGCAGAGGCTGCGGGCAACGTGCGATCTCTCCGAAAGAAAAAGAAAAGAAAAGAAAAAAAACGGCGCGCGTCTCGCACGCGGAAATCAGATCGCGGGGTCGAGCCTCGCCTCCTCCCTTTTCGACGCAGGGGGCATCATTTGCGCGCAGGGAGGGGAGGGGAGAGGGCGGGGCGAGGTGCGCGCCGGGAAGAGCTTTTCGGGGAAAAATTGAAAAACGCGGCCCGTAACGAGCGACCGCAGCCGTGGCGGACGGCGCAGCGGTTATTAATAGGAGCGTAATTAGCGGTCGCCGCGCGCCATGTGGGCAGCCGCGCCGCCGCCGCCGCCGCCTTCGCGTGAGCCCCCACGACGACGGCGACAACAGGTGCAGATCGGAGCCGGGGACCCGTAATTTCGCGAGGCCCCGCCGCTGCCGCTCCCGTCGGCGTCGCGACGGAGGGGCGCCCACGCGCGGACGGAGCCGTCACCACAAAGACGTCTGCACAAAGTGCCTCAGACGAGCAGTGTTAAAGGGCGCGGGAAAAGACCTCTGCTGGGAGAGAAGTTTTCCAACGATGACTTGTTCTATGAATATCCCCCCTCCCCCACATACAACGATTTTGAAAAAAATGTACACAAAGCATTTTGAAGATATTAATGAGAACGGTACTACTTTGACAAGCAAACGTAAAATAAATAAGCGTCATAATGAATATGTTTGTGAAGGTCCGCTGACAGTGTCTCACTCGGCTTATATAATACAGTCGACGATATGGGAGCCATATAATTGAAAATGATGGTAAAGATAATGACTAAAATGAAAACAAATCAATACAATTGCGGCATGGACTATTTCTATAATATCATACGCTGAGGCCAATTACATCCGTTTAGAAAGGCGACCGAAATAGCATACAGCGTCCATCTTTCACGATATGACCCGGGAGTTTCCATTTATTTTGTAGTTGGAAACTACTACGTATTGCATTAGGTATTAGATCGAAAATGCATACATTTTCGAAAGACAAATACGAAGTAATTCTGTTTTTTATTATATTACACTGCCTAGTGTTAACTGGTTTTTGAAGGGAGAAAAATACGCAATGATGAAACCAGGTGCCCAAAAAGTCTACGCAATGTTAATTTCTACACCGATTCTCGCCTATATGAGATTTCTCATTCAGTAGGCATGATTTCCGTCGGACCAGAGTGTACTGGTGAAATAGTTGCAAAGTTGCACATTTCTTTGGCGGCAAAACTGCACTTCGAAATCCAAAGCCGCAAGGAGACGAAGAAGTGCACCTAAAAACCTGCCATCACCTGCATTAACGATTGACCAAATGATTCTCAAACGTGAGGAATATACAACACGCTACTGCTTTTCTTACTAATAAGACACTATGATGTTAAAACTGAAAAACAACTATTTAATAATTGCCAGATATTGAAAGGTTAATTCCAACACATACAACAATCCAAAATATATCCCCGAAAAAATCAATTTGAAACGTGGGTAGACCTCATCGTAAGTTACACCACCCCATGTTCTTTAAACCAAAACATACAACGAGACTTCAGTCACACTTTTGATTACAAAGATTGTTTGCTGAAAGTTTACAGGAATCATCATTCTCACTTCATTAAAAATAATCGTATGTAGCTCAATCGTACGACTAAACATTTTAGATCACAAGAAAAAAAATACAAAAACATTTTCAGTGACACAGGGTGGCCGTTCATTTCCAGAAAAAAAAAACCGGACTCTTCGCGGTTTTCCAGACAGTTTTTTTTTTTTTTTTCATTGAAGAGAGAAGCTTGGAACTAACTTATCAGCTCTTTGATATCGCCCTGATAATAGTACAAATTGAAACAAACTCAAAAAATGGAAATTGAGTAAGAAATTATGTACTATTTGTTAGGAATAGTCTAATTTTATAACCATACCTGATTTTCCCCTGATTTCTAAAGATTCTCCAACTAACTCCCAGATTTTCCCTGACTTTCCCAGAGCAATGCAATTCCATGATTTTTTTTCTTCATTTTTCCATGTTTCCCAGCTCGTGGCTTGGAAACAACAACAACAACCAAATGGAGTCAAAACAAAACGGTCCCGTCGCAATCGAGACCTCCTGGTTTGGGGGGGGGGAGCAGAGCCCTACCTTGCCGGCAACGATGATGGGCACGTTGAGCGCCTGCAGCGACCACAGCACGTCGACGGGCGTCAGGCCGCTCAGCAGCACGAAGAGCAGCGCCACGTAGGACGCGACGAAGGCGGCGGCGCGCGCGCTCGACCCGGAGAAGAGCAGCACCAGCGCCGCGATCACGGCCGTCTGCAGCGCCAGGAACAGCCCCTCGCCCCACGCGCTGCGGCAGACAGGGCGGACGAATTAGGCGTCTCCGAAGGAGGTCTTTCTCCTCGCACAAGCATTCCAAACGCTCAAAAGGCGCTCTTGATACCCGCCGTATTGTTCGCACGGTTATAAAAATGTAGCTAGGAATGTAATGGCTAAATACCCTCAAACGCTGAATCTCGGACAAAAACAGAACATCTGATTAATAATAATAACAATAATAATAACAATTGAGCTAAGTGGCTCAGTGTGTAGCGCGCTGACTTCGCAGTCAGGACGCCCGGGCTCGACCCCTGGGACGGCCGTCCTGAACGGGTTTTTCGTGCTTTCCATCGGTCATGCAGGCGAATACTGAAGTGATTGAAAAAGCCCACGATAACGTCTCATCATCTTATCACCTCATAATTCATAAATCAAGGCATAATAAGGAAAGGATACAGACGATCCCGATAATTACATACGTTATTCTCTGTCTACGATAGAATATGGCCTCGAAATACGTGTACGAGTAGCGTGGTCGGAAATGGCCTTTACGGTAATAATAATAATAATAATAATAATAATAATAATAATAATAATAATAATAATAATAATAATAGCAACAATAATAATATCTAGATGGGCTCATGCAAAAATTTAGTACATTATAAATGTCCACTTCTGAATCAATACCTTCGATGTAATTTTACAATGATTTTGAGTTTCTGACATTCACCCATGTACCGAAGTAGGGGTAGCCAGAAGAGCTAGAATCCCCCAAATCTTCAAAAATGAAACAGAAAGTATAAAAAAGGGGTTATATCGTAAATCACTACTTAATAAACATATTGGGTGTGGCTTCAGGGACCCGAAAACACGTTTTTCAGGGTCAGGATGCATCGTTTGCAAGTTCTGCGCGATTGCCAAATACGATGGCTAGTAACGTGTGGTGCGGGTTGCATGTGCTCCCCCTCTGTCACAATCTGTGAATGTATTTTCCCGCCTCCAAACTGTTTGATGCAAGACAGAGGTACCCCCTCTCTAACATTCTGTACAGGCCACCACGCGGTGGGTAGGGCGAATACCGAATGTTCGGCGCTCGGCAAATCGCAAGCAACCCGTCCACACTACTAGAGATTCGGCGAGCGGTTGCTCGGGATTCGCCGAATGCCGCATGTTTGGAGCCGCCTTAAGATGATCCACGTCCAGAACGTCCAATTTCGAATATGGACGAAAACACAGAATAGGCAATCTTATTCGTGCAGATCGCCGTTTGAGTATTCGTTCAGTTGCCGGGACTGTAGAAGTCGACAAAGACTCAGTTGCACAGACTTTACTTGAACATTATAAAGTAAGGAAAGTTTGTTCCAAAATGGCGCCCAAGATCCTCACGGATGAACATTTGATCTGACATTTTGAAAAACATCTAAAAGGGCCATAAACTATTGGATAGAGTAATTACACGCGATGAATGACGTTTTTTTTTACCAACGACATGGAGAGCAAGCGCCAATCAATGCACTGAAGGAGTCCGCAGTCACCAAGAATGAAGAAAACTAATATCCAAGTCGAAATTCAAAACCATGCTGATTGTTTTTTTCGACATCCCGGGCATTCTTTAAGTATATTGGGCGCCTGAAGGTCAAACAGTGAGTAAGGAATATTATCTTGAGCTTCTAACTACTCTCCGTGAGCGAATGAGCGAATAAAAATAATAATAAAAAAAACGCAACCTGTGTTGTGGAAGAACAATTCATGGATTCTTCAACATAACGTTCCAGCCCAAACTGCACTGATTATTAAATCGTTTATGGCTAAGCATGGTGTTGATTTTTGACTAAGCTGTGTTGGAGCATCCATTCTACTCAACAAACCTAGCCTCGTGTGACATTTTTATGTTCCTGAAAGTGAAAGGAACTACGTTTGAGGCAACAATAAAACAATAAATAAGATAATAATAAAAGACATCTGTAAGAATAAAACGCAACACTCATTGAGTGTTTTTGGAAAATAAAAAAAATTAACAGTAATATAGAATATAAAACAAATTTCATATCTATAACTCAAATAATAATGAACATTAAACTTCAGTATATAGTAAATAGTAATGACATAATAAAATATGTCATTTGTTTCATGTTAGTCAACATAACACTATTTTATATATATATATATATATATATATATATATATATATATACAAGGTGTATATTAACAAAAATGAGAGTCACTTACATTAAATTCAAGAACAATTTAAATAATGAATTACTTTTTTAATAATAATAAAAGCGAGGTAAACTTATCGATGAGTCATCTGTCACTGTACTAGAATCATATATTTCCTTTTCGTCGAATGATCACCGTTTCAACTTTTCACAAATTTTATCTATATATTTTCTTAAATTTATCACAGGCATGCATGAGTTGTTATGCTAAGTTACCAAATTTCCTAAGAGAAATACTGAATGACGATATTCGTATAAATTTTAAAATAATTTCGGTTTGTGAATTTCACAACTGATACACATATTAAATAACCATATTTTGATATAACTGAAACAATAACTTCATTTCAATAAAGTTTTTTGTTATCAAAACCGACTAATATTGTAAATAAAAATGTCCGCCGATTTTATACCTTGTGTACTTCTGGCATTAATAATGTCATAACTGCGTATTAGCATATATTCAAAGCGCTCTAAATATTCCTATTAATCTCGCATTCTACCGCATTTGTCAGAGCATAAATTTGCGCACAAACTACATGACCCTATCACTTCAAAATGAATTCACCAGCCAAACTACCTAAAAATTACCCATTAATTATCGTCAGCTAATTAAAGTGGCAACGACTACGCGATTTACATCGCATTTATGCCGTTTCAATTTGATTTTGTGCGTTAAATCAAGATGTTCATTCGCAAATTTAAATTTCCTAGTGAAAGAAATCAGCTACACATTTGGGAACACTTTATTTTATCTTTCTATAAAATAAAAAGGCATGCACTAGAGAAATTTGAAACAATCACCCTTTAGGTTTAAATGCGTTAGTGGATAGACACCTAACGTATCGCGATAACTCCACCAACATTATATCACCACCCGTTCGGTAATAAATGTATTTATGTCAATTTCTTTTCATCACACCACTCATACATGAAACTGAAGAGTAACAACTTCACATGGCTGAAAGGAGAAGAATTTGATCTGTGGAGGTTACGGGCTCAGCAATTAAACTTCAAAACAACAATAAGTTTTATATAAATTAGAAGTTTCTGT